CGACCCCGGCCCCGGCCCCCGGCCCCGGCCCCGGGCGGGCTCTGCAGGCTGCTGGGCGCTGGGGTTATTTAAAAAAGCGAGAGGAGAGCAAGGGCAAAGTGATGCAATCCTTTAAGCATGGCTGGGAATGCTGTGTACATGATGCAATCTCGTGTAACTGTCAGTCATGAATTGAGTAATCTGTTAAAGATGTTCCTACAGTTTTTTTTATTATAAAGAATAATCTATTTCTATAAGAAAATACATATGTATATTTTGGGATCTATGCATTCTTGCTACATTTGAAGCATTAATGAACAATTTTAATAAACTTTATGACTAGGTTAAAAAAATAGCTTGTTTTATTTTGAAGGCACGTTTAAAGGTAGATTAAATGCAGGGCTGAAATTCTAGCTGAATCTGGCTCACCGCTGTGATCAGGGATCAGGATTTTTGTTGGTCTTTCGACTTTCTCTGTGACTCAGAGAAAGGAAAACAAAACAAAACAAAAAACCAACAACCCCAAGAGAAACCCAGCAAAGAGCAGAGCTGGAAGCTTTAGCCAGTTCTTGTTGCCTCATTTTATTTCCTCTCATCACTTGCTTTAGGTGCCACTTGGGTGTTGTTTGGGGAGGAGGTGTTTGTGTTGGGGTTTTTTTGCACTTCTTGCTGTTCTGAACGTGTAGAGCGAGATGTGCTATCCAAACCATGACCAATCTTTGGCAAAGGAACACCAAGTCTGAAGTGGGAGGGAGGAAGAAAAAGTAAGGGAGGACGCTTAAAAGTTGTTGTTTTTTTTCCTTTACAGAGTTTCTATTCTCTAGGTTATGATTCAGCATTTCTTATGTTTGTAGTTTACAGGAATAAACATGAGAAAGTAGCATTTCTGTTGGATGTCGGTAATTTCGGTCATTGCTCAGGAAGCTCTCATGAAACCCGGCCAGGTGAGAGGCATATGAACAACTCCCTTATCTTTTCTCGAGACGTGTTTCTAAAACCTGTAGATAGAGTTTCTCTGTGGAGAGGTGTTTGTTTCTGTGTGCATGCGTGTTTGTTGGGGGCAAGCAACAGAGAAGGGGGGGGGTGCAGAGGAGGAAGAAGCTTGTAGCAGGCCATAACTTTGTTTTTAGAGAGAACGAAGGCTCTGTCTGCCGATGGAACAAGCCAGCCTTGCCAGGGCTCCCAGGTTGCGTTACTTCCCCCACCGTATGCTGCCGTATCAAGGTCTGTAAGAAGTTAACAGTCTCAAGCTGGTTACGTGGAGGGAGTTGGGCAAATGATCAGGTCTTACTCAGCATTTTCCGTTTTCCTGTTAGGCCAAATTTAAGCGTTAAGTTTTTAGATCCAGATTCCCAGTGCCCCAGAAAACAAACTCCTTAATCGTTTATGCTCTGTTTCACAGCTGAACACAGAAGGATTTTTCAGTATAAAGATAGTGGACTTGAATTTGCTGCTATACATTCCAATACAAACAGCAGTGGACTGCAGAAGGACGAGTCTTGAATTTGTGGCTTATTTCTAGCATTTCTTTAAGCAAAGCATATTTCCTCCTGAAAGAACTGTTCTGCGTTTTTTGACATTTAAGATTATAGCCTCCTGCGGGTGAATCTCCCAGAGCTCTTCCTGAAATTTGTTACACATTCCCTGCTCCCACAATGCCTCCATAGCTCCTGCTGGGAGCTGTGCAGTAGTAAGCAGTGGAGTGTTAGTCCTGATACAGTTTTCTCCTGTTTGCTTTTTAATTTGTATAGTGCAGTTAAGTTGTTTTTGTGAGACCCTAAGAATAGATTTTCTTGGGTGAGCTAGCTCCTATACCAGCATGAGTCAAGTTCTTGCAGGCAAGACAGACGTTAGATCTTGTCTTGACTGTCCCTCGTGACGATGATTACTCCAGCCTCCTGTGGCTGTTTATTCTACTATTCTTCTAGTTACGAAACTTATCCACATCGTTAGATCCTATTTTCTTGTTGTGCTGTAGGCCATGTAATGTTACCCAAACTTTCAAGCAGTGTTCCCAGTCGGAACCGAGTGCTGCGGAGGGTGGAACTGCTGGAGGACTGAAGATGTCCTCAGATACATTTCTTTCTTTCTTTATAAATGACAAAGCTTCCAACAAAAGTTCAGTTTGTGGGGGCTGGAAGGCAGGGTAGACTGAAAGATAAGATGTACTGAAGGTATTTATATTTGTTTAAATAATAGTCCAGTTTTGGAGATAGAGCTCTATCAGGCATGAATGAGCTAATCCCTGTCCTTAAACTTTGGCTGCCACAGTTCAGGAGAGCCAGGGCGGTGTTGCTGCAATTTAAAGAATGATGTTTAAAGTACTGCTGTATTCCAGTGTATCGCTTAATTAGGATTACAGATTTCTCATTCAGGAGGAAACGTGCAGCAATGAGTTTCTGTCAGAAAGATGCAATTACAGACAGGAAAATTGAGGCCATGAATGCACCAATTTTACATTAGTCTCAGAAGGAATCCGTGAAAGAGTCGGAAAAAGAATTCCCGAATCCGTCATTCTTAATCTTGTATTACCCACATAACTTAGATTTTAGGAGCTTTGTAGTGCTATTAAATGCATGGAGGTCATGAAATACCCTGCTTTGTAAACAAGCATATGAAAAAGCCCCTGTAATTAAAACATTTCCTAGAAAAAAATAGTTTGGAAAAAAAATAGTTTGGAAATGAATCTGAGAAAACTCCAAGCACTAAAGTAGACAAAAGATTCCAAATACCTTTTCTAATCACAGTGGGGGAATTGGAAAATCCCTGTCCAAACAGTGGCTCAGCTCCAAATATTGATACAGTTTCCCATTACAAATAAGATTCCGTTGACTGAAAGCAGTACTTGGTACGTCTCGGTTGTCTTCTAACAGGGTCTTTTGCGCTTCTTTTCCTAAAGCGACTCAGTACAGCTTGTGGTAAGACTTTGCAGTCCATATGCAGGCAAACCATGCAGAGAAGTTAAGGCACTTACTCCAGTAGTCTGTTTTGAATTTTATAGAAGTTTATAAACAGCATTTCGTTTGGGCTCCCCCCCCCCCCCTTCAAATTATTTATTACGTTGTCTGATTCCTACAGGTCTTTCTCATTGCTACTAAAATAACAGAGTTTCTTCCTGTGTAGAAATAAGTCTGTAAGACCAAATCCCTAGCACTGACATCCCCTTTCTGAAGTGTCTAGCACGGTTTTATCATTTGCTAGGTGTTTGAATTCAGTTGTGCTCAGTTCTGCAAAAGGAATCATATGTATCATTTTAAAACAAAATATTTAAAAATACAATTATAATTTTGTTAGCAGTTCTTCTATCTGTTAATAGAAATTATTACTCTCTGCTTATCTGCCCAAAGCATGTATAACCAACCCCGTGCAGCTCTGGCACTGTGCTGTTGCTTTCACACTTTTCCCGCTGCCTTCCATTAGTGACTCTTGGAAAATGCAGGAAAATTCACGCTTGTTTCTATACTAATTATTTCTCCTCTATCAAATAAAATCACCCAAATTGCACACACGCACCAAAGGGTTATTGGGCGGGAGACTTGATCACATTTGATAACAATATGGTTTTTTCCTCATTGAAATTCTGCAATAGCCTTCAGATACCGAAATTACAACCTGAAAAAAGCTTTGTGCACAATGTTTACCTTTACAATTTCATTGCTAGAACAACTGTCATTGATGTGGATGTGTATAAAAATATCAAGTTACTCTCATACTAGCTAGTTTTCAAGCAATGTTTCATTAGCTGTGACCAGAATAAAAGTCAATGCAACTCAGTATCTGCTTTAATAAAGAGAAAAAATGTATATGAGGCCAAATTACACATCTTCTTTTGTTATTTATAGTGGTATCGCTTAAGATACAATAAGCATTGTCTTGCATTTGCCTGTCATTCATACCGACACGAAGTGAGTCTAAAGCACCACCAAACTGGAATGGCAGGGTTCTGCATTCAGTTTGTACTTGATATAGATGATTATATGGTGGACGGGGGGTAATGACGAATTTGGTTCTACCTCTTTTTGCTACCGATTGCTAACGCAAAAAAAATTTTTATTACTACTCTCCTGAGTGTCAGCCTTTTTTATGCTTAAGTCTACGCAAATGCTTAACAGTCAGAATTTTAGGGCAAACCTCATATACTAATGTGAAGTGTGAAGAAAAATTTAAACCTATGCATGTATGTTTAAAGGGTACTAATACATTAATCAGGAAATCCAAACAAAACTAGGAATATAGTTAACTACTCCCAAGGAAACAATTCCGTTCAAATTCTGAACAGTTTTTTTAATCAATCAATAAAGTAAAAATAAAACCGTGTGGCCAAAAGTGTACATTAAATATGTGAGGGAATTAGTTCTCTTTTGAGAGATACTCGCTGAACAGACAAGTGAAACCATTAAAAGAATGAAGTTCTATTTAACTCTTTGCTAGGACCCAAAACATAGTCTGAGAGTTTAATCTTTGCAACATAAAGCTGAACTTTGGTAGAAACTCTACGCTTGGATAATATCCTAAGGTTTTCTGAGGTTCCTGATTCTTTCTCGTGAACTGAGGCTGTTTTGCCCCAGCCTGGGCAGATGAGCAGCACAATTTATGGTGAGTATGTAAATACCTAAAAAGATTAGATACAGCCTTGGATTGACATCAGGATCATGTGAAATTTATGGTGTGGTGTTAGCCTGATGCAAAACTATGTGAAACTCCAAGAGAGTTT